TCTTATTGATCAGCCCCTACCTAATTGCCAAATTGTTATCAGAAGTTGATGCTCCAAATGACTTTCATTGCATTTGAGCACTCTGAGCAAGAATATTATGTATAGAATCTGTAAATGATTGAGTGTTTTGTTTGTTGATCATGTTTGTTGAAATTGCAATAATTTCATTCACAATAAACTAATATTGGATCGGACATGCGTTTCACCTTTGGCCTCCACACTGAGTAGGTAGACGCGATATTTCAGAATTCAGGTAACTGGTTGGTGTTTTGGTCACGATTATTTGCTATCATTACTGTCATCCAGTGGGCAATGAAATATCATTCTTCATCCGTAATCTTTACCTGTGTCAGCGTAATCTATTTACTAACATATCTAGAGACCCCTCGTACACATTGTAATTTCACTCGTCATACTCCCTCTAATGCGCTAATGATCCAGCACTTGTGCGCACTTCTAGTAAAATCCGTGCTGTGTAAGAAAGAGGGTCTTTACCTCAATCATGGGTTGCACTTTGCATTTGTGCAATTATTTTCATCGTTATATAAGAGCACTGAGGGCAGAATTTCTTCCATTAACTCTTCAAATGCTAATTTCTTTGTCTGGCAGTGGTTCACTCATTGACTAGCAGTCAATCGTCGCTACAATACGAAAGCATTTTCTCTAGCTATGGTGCGTTTACATAATCTAATTTCCCTTGTTGGCAACAGTGACAGCCACATTGAAAATATTTGACCCAAAGTGAACGGTTGCTAACGTTGGCCCCAGGTCATCAAACCACAGGATCAATTCTTTAAGTGTTTTTCTTCGTCTTTTGCAACCCAATACTCTGAAACTCTGGACTCATGAATGGAACCACAACCAACCATGTAAATTCGCCAAAATTTGATCTAGGTACTTAATTTACAAGAACTCAAATACACACTTTATATTTTATATCTCAATGTAAACTTAAATTTGAAAGCTAATTGTGTAGGAGCCAGACAACACAAAATCTACAGTCTATCAGTGAAGTCAGTCCTGCATACAATTTTTCCTTGAACTGGAACTGATAGCAGTATCCATGACCTGAGTTCTGCTCGATCATTAACTTTCACACTGAAATATTCTCATATTGGGTCTACTCAACTGAAACTAAGTTAATACTAACTAATATAATTTTATGTAATCAAAATCCTAAATTGGTAAGTAAATGAGTCGTGATACCTATAGTGAAACTATTCGGGTAAATTTTGCGTTTGACTTTCGGCAGAAAACTAGGAACAATGGCGTAGACGCTCATTTTAGCTGTTTCTGAAAGATCTGTATGAAAAAACCCTAAGTAATTGAAGCCTTAAAAAATTGAAACAGAAATATTTCATTCATTTTGTCATCACAGACCTAATTTTTGCGGCCAGATTTTCTTCTACCGGGTTCAGAGTCAACACAGCTTATTTTTTGGAAAGAGACAGCTCAAAAACGTGTTTCAATTTTTTTTTATCCCCAAAACTTAGAAGCAAAACTGATAAAATGGAGTAAGGTTTTTAACTTATTGATACTAGTTTACTTTTCTCATGGAAACAAGTTTAAATATTGAACTCTTCCTAAAAGCATTGATTTATTAGGACTGACCAATAGGGTATCACCTTAACCCTTTGAATTCCTGGCACCCAATTCTTCCATTTCCTGTATCTAGGTTGAAATAGTGTCCCTGTATAGGTACTCTTCACTCATTGTCAGAGTAATGAAAAAGGATCAGATAGATCACATTTAGCAAGAAGGAACCGGTGCAATTACAGTGTTTTCAAAATCATGCTACTTCTTTTTTTTTTCTTTAAAAATATTTAATATTATGTACAGTTTTAAAATATACACAATTGTTTTCCTCTAATAGTAAACATTTTTTCGTGGGAAGGAAAAACTATTTGCTCTTCTGGGAATTTTTTCAACAAATTGTGAAGATGCAACATTCTTACAACACTGCAATCGCGCTGCTGGTTCCTTTTTGCTGAATGCGATCCAGATCTGATTTATTCTTTTTTTTTTTTTTTGTCCCCACCCACAAAATCGTACTTTTCTTCCCCTTTTCACCTTGACTGCCCGACCTTTAACTTCAGAAGAGGTAGTCATTCAGAGGTTGCAGTTTGAGCAACACAGCACCTCTTATGTGGCCTCTCTCTGCAATTGAGAATTCGTTTTTATCGCTGAGTGCTCATTCGATGACAATTTTCACCGGTGCTTGACAAGGATAATTTGTCCGGGTTCCCCATAAGCACGTGCTCAACCTCCTCCCCCTACCCCGCCCGCCTGAGAACCTCAAAACGACCTTCCATGCCTCAATAATCGATCGCTAGAATAGGGCATTACACCTCTCCACCATAGCCTCTCTTCCACTCTCATTGTAATCACACGGCATGCGAGCATTAGTTAACTACGCCTTCTCTTTTGTTTTTCGTCGTCTCGATTCTTGAGTACACTTCATTTTCGTAAATTATTCGGCAGGAAGGTTGGAATATATCAACGATACCTTCCGGTCAAAGTATCACAAGCTCAATGCGATGTTGAAGAATTTCCGCCGCCATTTTATCCTTTTACAGAGAAATTGCTGGTTGAATCTATTTGAAAATCTCATTGAATTTTATCGGCAAGTGAAATTTTGGGACAGCTTCGTTGAACAATTTCTCTGTAAAAAAACGAAATGGCGGCGGAAATTTTTGAACATCGCACGGCGTTTGTGATACTTTGGCCGGGAGGTGACGATGTAGAAAGAGGCTATCTTTCTTGTAATCAGGGCGATTTCTTCTCATCGGAGCGAGCCAACATCCATTTGTTGAAAGATTTTTGCCAAAATTCGAGTCTCGCTTTTACCTTATTTGGCAGAAAACGATGAGACTCAATATTATTGCACATTAAAAGCCGTCTATCTACGAAAAATCCCTTTTACTTAAACCCTAAATTTTTGAAATGTATTTTTATCATGCTTTTGAAATGCTAAAATATGCATTCGATTGCGGCCATCTGTGGAACAGCAATTCGTCACTTCCCTAACGAAAGACCGTCATATTTCAATGTTGCCATAATTCCCTTCGCAAATTGCACTTTTACCAGGAAAATTTTGGGCATCTCCAAACAAAACCCTGCTTTTTGCCCTGATCTCATGCAAAAATCAGAAAAAGTTTGTGAAGAAAGTTGCAGAGGCACATTCTCTTAAAAAATCGAGTTCCTTGTCTCAATTTTGCGGTGTTGGAATGGAGTTCCGTTCCTTCCGTTTCAGCGATGTTTGTGAATCTTCGATGATACAATTACGTCAAAAATTCGACTAACCAGTAAATTTTAGACGAAATGGAAACTCAAGTTTAACAATTTTTCCCGGCCAAGAGACCGAAGAGTGACTTCGGGTGCAGTTGAACTTGCGGATTACGATATCCATGAGCCGTTAAGAGTTGTCGAGTTATATCTTCCTGATTACGCAGCGTGTCGCATAAGTTTGATGTGCAATTATTGCGGACGCGCACTGACCGTTTCGATGAAAAAGAGACATGCACGCTCCTTACTCACCTGCTAAACCACGTTTTCGCATTCCACCACGTGATCGGAGAAATATATGAAACGTCATTCTGCGTTGCTAGTTCCCTCAACAAATCAGTTTATCGCCGTACTGCGGAAAAGCGCCGGACGATCATTCAGACGACGTCAAACTTCTGATGAAACAATAATTTTCCAAGAAGAAAGGAAATAAACTTATTTAAAGTCCTCAAAGAATGACATGTGTAATTCAATCTAGTACTATTACTTTCAAAGGAAACTCGTTATTTTCTCCATCAAAATCAATGTCCAGCCGAGAAAATTTAGCGACCTTAAAATCCCCTTACGACGTTTTTCCCAATCGCAGTATCAAAGAGCACAGTAGCGCGTCTGACTTTAGATCAACACTGCCGTGCTAAGGAAGAACGCCGTATGAACATTCGAGAGTTGTCAAATTTCCTCCGGTAAAATGATTATTGTTGAGGAAAGTTGTGAACATTTTTCCTTGAAATTTCCAGGAAATATTTGTAAAATTGCGAAAAAAATTATATGAAAACCTGGACGAGGAACATTCAAAAATTCACTAGATAATTCGAGTTTTATCAAAGGAAATTTGGCAACGCCTGAAGGTCCATATGGCGTTCTTCTTTAGCACGACAGAATAGTTCTCGGGTTTGAATCTTAGCAGTGGCAATAAACTTTTACGAAATTGATGAGCGGATCTGCTGAAACTAATTCTCTTAGTCTTGAGGGTGGCTGTGTGATCCCTAATGATACAATTATACTAATGAGATAGCATCTATGGGTGGTTTAAGGTATTAGTGAAATAGAAGCCAAGTAAGTAGTATAATAGAAAAAAGGGAGAAAAATAGCCCTGTATAATCCAACTCTGTTTTTTTTAAGGGGAGGGGGTTGAAAATTCGTCAGAAGTGAAGTGCTCTCTCATGATCAGGCACTTCTAGACCTCCCCCTCCCCTCAACCCGCCTCAGTGGGTACTCGTCGTAATTTATGAACAGCCACGATCAGGATTTTCCGTCGCGAAAAGAAAACTTGTGACCCTTTTCAAGCGCGGCCCGGAAAACTTGATTTCCGAACAGTGGCGTGGCGTGAATTGCGATGCATCGATTGTCATGCCATTTAAACCCATGGAAAAGGTTCGATAGACAGGGCGTTCGCAGCGAACACCCTATTAATCGATCCTTTACGCGGCCCGGAAAACTTGGTTTCCGAACAGTGGCGTGACGTGAATTGCGATGTATCGATTGTTATGCCATTTAAACCTATGGAAAAGGATCGATAGACAGGGCGTTCGCAGCGAACACCCTATCAATCGATTCTTTACCATAGCTTCAAATGGGGAAATATCGATATATATCGAATCACGCCACGCCAATGTTTCCGAAGTTCTGTCCTAGCGTGCGAGTTAATCCGGTCCCAACCCCCGCGGCGGGGGATGTTTTCGCTGCGAGGAATCCCCAGCGATGACGAGGTCGAGATGACGTGTCGGGAGCAGGAGGAGTTCGTCAGTCGAGATCGTCACTCGAGACTTCCCGACGTGGACGTGGGCAAGTGACGTCAGAGGCCGTCACGAGGATCCACCTCTAAAATAAGACCCGCGCCACGTTGCTTAACTGTCTCCTCTCGCCCGAGTTTCGCCCCCGCTCGAAGCGAGGCGTGGGAGTGAACGCACTCGCAATTCCGTGTATCGACTCGAGTAGTCGCATCCGGGTGATTCTTCCAGGAAGTAAACAAACATCGATTCATCGAACTTGGATTGCATTTTGCAAAAAGGAACTAGAGTCCCTTTATACTGAGAGTCAAGACAATGCGAATCCATTTCTGATTGGTTAACCGGATTTTAGGCCTTCACAGTGTCACAAACGGGAATAAAGATTACATTTTCACCAATTGCAAAGATTATAATCTGGAATGGACCGAGGAATTTAGGGTTCGACAAGGAACAAACGGAATGAGAGAAGGAACGGAGAAAGGAATTTAAGAATGGGCCGATCAAAGATTACGAAAAACGTTCAATTTGTGTAATCTTTATTCCCGTTTGTGACTCCATGAGGGGTGTTGTCTTGACTTTCAGTATAAAGGGACTCTAGGAACCACTAGCATTGCAATGATGCTAAGATTGTGCAACTTCATCCTTCGCAATGAAATTGCGGAGATTGTGAAAAACTATGAAATTTAGATTGTAATTTTTGTCTTTAATTTACAGTTTTAAGCGAGTAAAATAGAAACTATTGAGGGATAATCGGGTTTTTCCTCCAAGACAAAAGAAGTTGCACAATTTTAGCAACATTGCAATGCTAGTGGTTCCTTTTTGCAAAATGCAATCCACTTGGTCTAAAATACGAGTTTCGCTTTTCACTCGTCTTCGCGAAAGAAGAGATGCAACAGTGTAGATGAGTATCCTTCAGCAGTCTATTGGTGAAAAATCTCTTCTGAAAACCCTTAATTACAGGGTTGCCACAGTCAGGGAAAACCGGGAAACGTCAGGAAATTTTAAAAAGTCAGGGAAAATATGTTAAATCACCTTTACTTGCTTTCTAGGATGGGTTTCAGGTTTCGAACAACAAACTTTGCCTGAAAACTATTTTCAATTATGGCTCCTTAACCACCTGCCTTATCTTCAATTAAGGACATTTCACCAAAATGTGTCTGCAGGGTGTCTACAAGTCCGGAAATAGTACCGATTTTTCAAGGCGGGTTTGAAAAGGGGCGGAAATTCCGCCAAAGATCCGTAATTTTTTCATTTTTTGGTCATTTTTGTCTCAATTTGAGCGAGAAATTCAAATTTTTGAAATTTTTCGAATTTCGTCAAATGGAGGTACTGAAAAAGTACTGAATTTTTCTATTTAGAAGGTACTGAATTTTTTGGGAATGTACTGAAAAAGTACTGAAGAGTACTGATTTTTGGCCCGCCTGTTTTAGCAGACAACCTGTCTAAGAAATTTCAGGCAATTTCATTTTCTAAATTCTGTGGCAACCCTGAAAAGATATGGAACAGTGTAGATAAGCATACTTCATCAGTCCATTGGTGAAAAATCTCTTCTGAAAACCCTAAATTAAAGCCAAATGAGACTTATTTCGAAAATTCCAATACGATTTGACTAATCCAATGCGATATTACGCGTTTAGTCTCATTTGGCTTTAATTTATGGTTTTGGAAGAAATGTTTCACCAATCAACTGCTGAAGTATACTTCTACACTATTGCATCTTTTTTATGCAGAGAGTGAAAAGCAAATCTAGTATATGGAAAAATTTGTCTGATACATCGATGTTTGTTTACTTACTAGGCGGAATCGCCTTCAATACTTACAATAGTGTAGAAACAGGGTGTCTACAAGTCCGGAATTTCCGGAAATAGCTCGGATTTTTTAAGGGCGGTCCAAAAGTATTGAAAAAGGGCGGAAATTCCGCAAAGAGGACCGGAATTTTTTTCATTTGTTGTCATTTTTGTCGCAATTAGAACGAGAAATTCAAATTTTTAAAATTTTTCGAATTTCGTCAATTGGACGTGCCGAAAAAGTACCGAGTTTCCACCGTTGAGGAGGCACTAAAAATCTTGGGGATGTACCGAAAAAGTACTGTAAACGTACTGATTTTTGGCCTGCGTGTTTTCGTAGACACCCCGGTGGAAATCTTTCTTTGAAAAAAAGGATGGGTGTGTCATTTGAAAATCATCACACGCCCATTCTGCCGTGCTGCGGGAAAACGTCGTATGAACCCTCAGGCGTCGCCAAATTTCCAGCCCCCTCCCCCCCCCCCCCGGGAGCTAGTGTCGTGGAAGAATTTTTCACGTCTTGGACATGTCTTGGAGGACGAAGAGGCACTTCGTCACTGCCTGACGGAGAATCTCGGGAGAAATCGACACGGCATTTCCCGGTGTTAAGGTCACCCGAAAGCTCAGGGCACAGGGCACCGCCGAAAGGGTGAACCCCGATAACGAGCCCAGGGTTAGGTTAAGCGGAACGGAAAGAGGGTCAACGCGGGGGCGGACGGGGGTGGAGGGTGCTTGAACTTGGGAGATATCGCGGAGCACGAGCGCGATAAGGGACGAGCCCGTCAGTGGCGTGGCGCGAATTGCGATGTATCGATTGTTATGCCATTTAAAACTATGATAAAGAATCGATTATTAAGGTGTTCGCTGCGAACACCCTGTTCATCGATCCTTTTCCATAGGTTTAAATGGCAGAACAATCGATACATCGCAATTCACGCCACGCCACTGGACGAGCCTGCCGTCATTCAGACTTTGAAGTTTCGAGTCGGACCACTCTACCGTGCTAAGGGAGAACGCCGTATGAACATTCGAGAGTTGCCAAATTTCCTTCAGTAAAATGGTTATTTTTCGAGGAAAGTTATGAATATTTTCCCTTGAAATTTGCAGATTTTTTACATCAAATTTCGAAAGAAATGTTCTGAAATCCCGGAGGGAGGAGAAATATTCTCAAATTCTCCTGAAAATTCGTTGTTTTTCGAAGGAAATTTGGCAACGCCTGATGGCTCATACGGCGTTCTTCGTCAGCACGGCAGCACTCGAGAGGAGTCACGTGGTCCGACATGCGTCCGCTCTCTGTTGTCGATGAGGCTTTCGCCGGATTCTAGCGCTGTGCGTCATTTTTTAACACGGTTACGTAAAAGAGAAAAAGTGGGCGGTCGGATAATGGAAAGTTATGAAAACTCGGAAGCGAGAAAAAGTACTGCCGTGCAAACGAAATACTCCTTCGTTAATCGTATTTGATTTGTTTTTTGATTGAAGAAAATTGAAAAACGAGAGTAACGCGTCGAAACTTTCTATTTGATTTTTATTTTTAAATCATTTCAGAAAATTTCCGGAAAACCTTCAGAAAACTACAGGAAGCTTCGTAAAACACATCGATTAAAAATAAAACATCAGTAGATGTGTGCAACGTTACAATCGGAGATAAATACGCTTTTATTCGCGCGCAGTCGTCGGTATTTCGGTTCATCCACGGCAGGCGCAATGATACAACTATTCGACCACGGATGTAGGCATGTTGCAGCCAGCCGGATTGAAGGCGCGTCAAACTGCGAAGATCATGCAGCCCCATTCCCTTCACTGGCTGTCGCAACGCTGAAATCGCCGCAAACCTAAGAATACGCGTCATTATTTTCACTTTTTGCCCTGTTTTACTGTATTTAAATTGAAATATGTATTTCAACTATAACGATTCAAAAAATTTAATCGTATATGATTCGTTTTTTGATTGAAGAAAATGGAGAAACGAGAGTAACGCGTCGAAACTTTCTATGATTTTTATTTTTAAATCATTTCAGAAAATTTCCGGAAAACCTTCAGAAAACTACAGGAAGCTTCGTAAAACACATCGATTAAAAATAAAACATCAGTAGATGTGTGCAACGTTACATTCGGAGATAAATACGCTTTTATTCGTGCGCAGCTGTCGGTATTTCGGTTCATCCAGGGCAGGCGCAATGATACAACTATTCGACCACGGATGTAGGCATGTTGCAGCCTGCCGGATTGAAGGCGCGTCAAACTGCGAAGATCACGCAGCCGCATTCCCTTCCCTGGCTGTCGCAACGCTGAAATCGCCGCAAACCTAAGAATACGCGTCATTATTTTCACTTTTTGCCCTGTTTTACTGTATTTAAATTGAAATATGTATTTCAACTATAACGATTCAAAAAATTTAATAAACATTCCTTCGCATGGTAGAGAACGATTCCCAAAGCAAACCCGAGTGGAAGAGCGAAATGTCTGTGCGCAGGTGTGAATGCGAGCGTCACACTTTATTTCTCCTTCATTTCAGTGATTATGCAATTTTAGCCACATAGGAGTTGAAATAGTCGTATGCCGCATTTGGAACCTTACCATTAATGAACAGGCGTGTAATGCTCTTCAAATGGCTCTTCCATCCTTTTTTCAGTGAGAGATTATTTTACCCTCGCAGCTTGTATAATTTGCTTTTATGTTATTTTTTGTAAAATTCTGCACAATTATTTAACATTATTTTCCACGCAAAGTCAAATTTTCTCATAGTTGAATCACATCTTTGCAAAAAGTTCCTCGCATCGCTTCCTTTTTGTCGAGTGCAGTAGAGAAAATGCCTCAGTTCGGATCCGCTCGATTCACGGAGAAAATGCTCCACATTACGCTGCCGTGCCAAGGAAGAACGCCGTATGAACTTTCGAGAGTTGCCAAATTTTCGCGGAAAGAATGTTCATTTTAGAGGAAACTTGTGAATATTTTTTCTAGAAATTTTCAGACACTTTAGATCAAATTATAAAAAAAAAATTATCTGAGAAATTGGCAGATAAATATTCAAAAATTTTCCTGAGTTTATACGTCCTTTCTTCATTAAATACATTTACTAACACCTGAGCGCTTTTCTAATACGACAGTATTAGAACTTTCCCGCTTGTTTTATACTTTCTCTCTGTCCATTCAACGTAGCCCCTAACTTTCCCGATAATTTTCCTCGCCGCGGTTAGCCAACGAAAAGCTTGAGCCCGGCCGTTCGCGAATCGCGAGGTTTTCGTTTATCACTATTTTTAGCGGTGTTTACCCGCGATTGCCCGAAATTCGTGCCAATCTTGTGCTCACTTGTACTTGTACGTCTTCCTTGCCCTGTCCTCCTGCCTTTCCCTCCCCGCCTCCCGCCCATCCGTGTGCCAGAGCCCGCGCAGTCAACGCCGCACAGTGGATCGAGTCAAAAGGAGAGGTCGGACAAAATTTGGAAACTTTAAACGCTTATAACTCCGTTTGCCCAAAACTTTGAGGTTCTAAAAGTGGTTTCATTAGTTTCCCCGTAAAATTTTCTCCTACTACAACCCATTGAAATTAAAAATGTGACGAAATAAACATCAAAATTTGAAATTTTAATCAAAAATTTCATGTGCGACCTGTCTAGTTGACTCGACCCACTGTGCGCCGCGGAAAAGTAGGGGGAACCGACGACTACTCCTGGCCGGGGAAAGCTCGATCAATTGAATTTTTCAGGAATGCGCCGCGGTATTAAAATAAGTCATGTTGTAAACCCCGAACACGTATGCGAGCCCCCCGATCGAACTGCGAATAACCAAGTCCACGCCAATGAGATGATGCAATTTTTTCGACCAATTTCATGGACAGCTTCTCAATAAAAGGAAAAAAAGAACATAATAACTTCCTGGATTTCTCCGTTAAAGATCCACACATCAGTCCATCAGATCTCCCCGATAAAGTTTTTTTAGTACAATTGAATTTGTCGGAGCTCTATGAATTCTGCCGTGCCAAGGAAAAACGCCGTATGAACATTCTGGAGTTGCCAAATTTTCCTCAGTAAAACGTGCATTTTTGACGACATTTATGCATATTTTTCCTTGGAATTTTCTGATATTTTAGATTAAACTGCGTACAAAATTGTCTGAAAATGTTGGGGGAAAATATTTATAATTTGCCCAGTAAATTTGGTTTTTATCTAAGGAGACTTGGCAACATTTAAAGGCTCATACGACGTTCTTCCTTAGATCGGCAGAATCGGTAAGCTCATTTTTATTCCTGTGAGTCACGTTCATTCCTTCCCTAATGACAGCCAGCTTGTTCAGTCTTCTCTCCCGGTGATTCCGGAAAATCGTTATCCCTGTTCCCGTTTGGCAACGTCGGAATATTATCACGAATGTTTTTCCGCTCGCTTTGTCGTATGTCATCACGTCACTCAATTGTCATTTCCTGTCAGGCTCTCTGTAGAAATGGATTTTAAAGTCGTGCCATGCCTCGAAGATGTAAAGTAAACAAAACAAGTAGCTAACTTTCAAAACTGCCCAACTGGCATGAGGTGAGAGCCTCGTTCATGACTCCATAAGCAAACAAATTTTTGCTCCTGACATAATGGTTGTTTGGAGGGAACAGTGAAACACTCTTTCTTTTTTCTACCTCGCTGTTTTTTAGTGGGGTAGAGTATGTACTTCTTTTCTACTCCATCATATGAGAGAATTTGATCGCACCCACGATGTGCTCAGGTACAATTTCCTTTTTGTTAAAGTCAAACTCATCGTCCAATCCAATTTTCTTTTGACTCGGTCAATTCTAAGGTTTAAAGTCACGCTTTCCCTTCTTCCCCAATTTTTCTCAAGTAAGGTGGAGTACTTACTTCACCTCGTCACCATCATGGGAGTAAACCTTTTCCTTTTTTCCCCAATTTTTTTTTATTTACGGTGGAGTAATGACTTCACCTCGTCACCATTACGGGAGTAAACCTAATTGCATCCTCATTTAGGCACTTTGATTTTTTTTAAGTTTGATGTATTATCCGATCCAATTTTAGTGTGTCATGTCGAACATTTATTTGTCGAACACTTTCCTATTTATTTCATTTAATGAAGCTGCTCATTTAGCAAAAAGAAGAAAAAAAATTAGGAACTTTCGCTTTGTTTAGAAAAAAAAATAGTCGCACTATCCGATGCAATTTCTGTTGGAATCTATCGATCTCAAAATTTACAATAACGCTCTTCTTTTTTATTAAAAAGTGGTTGCCCATTAAAAAATGTACCACCTTGTGAGGATAGTCAAGTTTTCTGTCATTATTCTTTTTCTCCTTAATATACTTAACCAATCAAAATTTATCCAATTTTTCAGAGAATATCGCTTCACACACAACTTCATTAAATAGACCGAGTTTAACAGAAAGGAACCAGCTCGGAACCGTTTTAACCCGTATAACATTGAAACTGAGTAAAATAGGTTCGAAGTTGTATTCCTCCATGAGGCTCAGTGTAGAAAATAAACTTTAACCCCTCTTAACAGAGACTAACTTTTTCTTCTCGTCTTTGAGTTTTTGGCAGGGGAATGTATACGTCTTTTGGAACTCAAAAACATTCTTAACTCAATTTTTTCGACAATGTGGGTTGGTTCCTTTCTGATGAAATCGGTCCAAATGATCTTTGAAAATTTATGGTTTTTTGTGCTTTTCTGATGCTGTTTGAATGTTGCTATCATTTTTTTCATTGAATTCTATGATTCTTGTTTCAGAGCGTGAGAAAACCAGTATACCAAACGCGTTCCCTGTTCAGCAATTAAGCTGCTGCAGGGATGAGAGTGAGTATGTACCTACAGTTGGTCGCTGGGGCGCGGAATGGCCAAGTTGACTCGCACAAGACTACGTGGTATGGCTGAAGGGGGTCGGTGGCGAATGGCCCCAAGAGCACCCCCTACCACTCCCTGAGTGGGGGACCCCACGGGATCCCTGCAAGCTTCCCTCTGTCGAGGCCTATGAAGATTTGGCGCTCACAGTTGAACTGACGGTCCAGCAACTTTTGCAGAGCAACAACTACAACACTGTCTGCAATTTTGTCACGTGAGTCCCCACACTTTCCGGAATCTTTCAGGGTTGCCACGGTCAGGGAATGCCGGGAAATGCCAGGGAATTTTAAAGAGTCAAGGAAAACCTAAGAATTTCAGGGAAAATGACGAAAGTGTCAGGGAAAAATTTTTATTCACCTTTATCAGCTTTTTAGAGTGGATTTGACATTTAGAACAACAAATTTTGCCTGAAAACTACTTTAAATTATGTATTTTTGGCCGTAAGACGTAACTTCAATCGTCAGGGCATTTTAATCAAAAGTGTCAGGGAAATTTCAGGGAATTTCAAATTGTAAATTTTGTGGCGACCCTGATCTTTGATCCTCAGAAACTCCTTAAACAGGGTCTGTCACTTCGGGGTTTCGACGCTCTTGAAAGCCTGGAAAGTCAGAGGAAGTTCATAGAGAAAAAGTTATGGACAATTCAAGGCAACCTGGAAAAGTCAGTAAATTCATAAAAAATTAAATTACGGAATTCCGCAAGTAGCGTTTAGTATAATTCAACATAATGAAAAGGAAAAAATCCAAGTGGAAGTTTTGTTTGGAAGTCTAGAAAAGAGAAAAATCGAAAATGTCAGGGAATCTCAAAAGAAAAGAGTCAAGGACCCAGAAAATCAAATTTTTTTGTAAAATCCTGTTAGAAAAAAAAAACTGTTCTAAAATTATTCCTTTCAACTATTTGTAATCTGATTGGATAAAATCGGCCTGAGCTCCCCGAAAAAGAAAAAAATTCCCTGAAAAAAGGTTATTCTATCAACCAGAGTATAGTCAAGTTTTACGAAAGCTTCTTTTACCTAAGGAGCCAGCAACAAGTGAATGCACTTAAGTTTGTTAGTTTCTGGCAGTTTTTAGCAGAATTCATCAATTGAAAGATTTAATTTTGCTCCCAAAAACAGTTGAAACTCCCGAGGGACTGGAAAGAAATTATAACTTTTGAAAAGGAAACAAATGGATGACCGTTTATTTTCTATGTCATTTCAGGTTCTATCGAACGTACCGTCGAAGTTTGGAGACGAATTTGAGCCACTTCTACCGATGCTACATTCCACCGATAACAGCGGAGCACCACACATGTGTGGGTCTCGGCTTGGAGCTCATCGAGCGGCTGGGAAAGCTTGGAAAGCGATTCCCAGGCCTCGTGGACCGTTTATACATCGCATCGTGTGAGGAGCTCATTCCGGAGGTGGAGGAATACATTGACTCCGACCCGGATCCGTCGGAGGTCGACAAGGAGCATGTCCTCGTTGCTATGAGGCTGGACATCGCTGGCAGGAAGGGCTACCTCTTGCTTGATCCTGGATACCATGTCGCCAGGGTCATCACTGTTATGGAGGACAAACAGTACCCCCATACAGGTACGTCGAGGTCTGCCTCTCATCCTCTTTCTTTTTTCTGCGTCTTGAACGGAGGTTTTCGGTGATCTGGAAAAATCTGGAAAAATCTGGAAAGTCAGGGAAACTTATAGAATTCATAGGGAGGGTGTTAAAGTTAAGACTTGCTTGAAGGTATCACGCTAAAGTTAAGATTCTATCACGATACCACGTTAAAGTTTATCAGTAGTGAGATGGAAATAAAGTTCAAAATGATTTCCGATTGTGGCACTAGCTGGTCTTTGTTAATGTAGAACCAACAAACTACAACAAACAGAGTGAGAATTAAAAATACGAGGTTTGAATTAAAGTTTGTCACTGTATTAATCCGAAATTTCACAAAAACGTTGTACAAGATATGAAAAACAAAAGAGGATGAAAAGTCGTTGAGATTCCACACAATGATGCACTTTAAATATTGAGAGTAAAACACTTGATGGAAGGAGTTTAAAAATGGTCACTTGAAACTAAAAGTAATGAGAGAACCTTTGGTCGAAAAACGTTGAGAGAGGACAAATGTCTCACGGGTCTGAGGGATGTAAAAAGACCTCAATTTAGGCGCAGCGCACGCTAATATAGACTTGCTGACGTCACGGGTGGTGTGACAACAAGTCTACGCGTGATTGGCTGGCTATAATCGATGTAACTTCAGTATCAAGTCTAGTAATTAAAAGTAATGGAGATGGACTGAATGATTGGAAGTAAAGAAGATTTGAGATCGAAAAATAGACTTTCATGAAATGAAAAATGAATATTAGAAAAAAATTGAAAAGAGTTGACAGAGGTTCAAGAAATTTAGCAACGTCTGGAAGAAGTCAACCTATTCCAAAGGAATAAAATCGAAATAGAAGTCTTGTTCATAGGTCTGGGAAAGTCAAGGCTTAGAGAATTTGAACATTTTGGAGTCAGGGAATACCAAAAGAAGTCATGGGGAGGGATTGAGGGTCAAGGGAAATTCACAGAATTGGAAAAGGAAAAATTATGAAATCCCTGGTCTAGAACCCAACAGTAGTGGTAAAAACCCGAATGGTATAAAATGAAATTCACCTTTTGGTCTTTGATGAAAATAACTTAAGGATGGTGAAACAAAGAAACTGTATATCCTTGGGTTATGATGTTGGAGAATTCATCCTCAATCTGCAAGCTTTTGCGCTATTTTTTTTTGTTCTGTCAAGAATATCCGCTGCAAATTGTTTGGAAAAATTTTCCAGAATATTCTAATAACATACCTAAAAAATAAAGAAAGCTTTGAAATGAAGGACTTCTTCGGAAAAATGAATTTTAATCAGAATTTGCTCCAAAATTTTCCTCGCTATAACAAGGAAGCAAATCTCATCCCTAGTAAAAGTGAGTCAGCCTGACGTCAGGCTATGATTTATAAACTACCCTGAGTCTGACAGATTCAGGCTGACACAAGTCTGAATCAGTCTGACTCAGGGCAGTTTATGAAGCATAGCCTGACATCAGGCTGATTCACTTTTACTAGGGATCTGCTGCAAATACTACGCAAATTTATACAATCTTTGCAGCCTTACAAGCTTCGTACACCCTCTTACCAAAAAAGTCATCAATTTTGAAACGCTGCTTGACTCCTTCACAAATAGTACCCACTAAAAAAAATCAATTATGCTCTAGTATTGAACGTTTTAAAACTTTACCATTTTGAATACCACTGTGTGTTTACCAATAGGAGAGCACAAGAAACATGACTCCTTAGGTGCATAAATACTTATGCTTTCCGCAGTTCATGTCAAAAAGCTGTAGCTACTCTCTCCTGTAATATAGTAGGGAAGATTCCAATTTTTTTCAATCCTTGAGCGCATTCCTGCAAGACGAGTTTTCAAATTCTATTCCTTATTTTTGCTTCAGGTTGGTTCACCCAGTCTCAAGATGAGACCTGCAAGAAAGAGTATAACTACGTCATTAGTGAAGAAAACCCAAGTTACATACTGTGGAATATCCGTGAGAAACGAGGCGTGGCAGCCGAAAAACTGTCGCAGAGCATCATCTATGTGGCTGCTCCGTTCAACACTCCTGTAGACGTAACCGAGCGACGCAACTTGTGTTACGATTTCCGCAGTGTGCTGTCAAGAGACGCCAAGGGGCACCTCATTTCTGGTATATACTTCCCAGTAACCTTGAAAGGGGCTGGTGAATTTACTCTATTCTATCAGAATGAGGACGGAACGAAGATACGCATGAAACTACCATTTGCTGCTTTCAAGTCTCCAAATTTGGTGAGTTTGAGTTTATTTATTGTTTCTTACATTTTTATTGCTTTCAGGATTTGATTTTATCATTCATACTGTAGAACCAATGTTAATAACATAAACAATAAATATCGGTATAATGAAGAATTAATGATGAATGCAAGAAAAATTATTGAAGAAATGAGAATTATAATGAAACGCGAAACTAAAGTTAAAGGATCAAACAATCTAGAAACCATCAAGAAATTCAAATGTTTCACAACCTGGAATAACCTCAGTCGATACCCAACAACTTCTTTCTTCTGTGAATGTTCAATGAAGTATTAATGCTGTTTGCTGAAGAATTCTAACGTCAATATTAACAATCTCTCACGTAATTCCAAAAAGAAACTTTTTAGTGTGATCTCAAAAACTAAATCTTCAGGATGATTTCTGAAAGAAATTAGAATTACCATTTTATGTGGGTTTGAGAATGTACTTTAGTATCTTCAATGTCGTCCTTTTTAGTGTGTCTGCGTTATTTTGACAAGTTTTAATTATGGATAATAGAACACTGAACTAAATTCTGCTAATCTACAATCTCATTAACCTTGCTATTTTGGTTTTTCCAGTTGCTGAGCGCCGATCAAATGCACGCAGTCAAAATGTGCAACAAACAGCTCGGCTGGGCTGATGGGAAGCTGATTTCAAGACTAAAGATGTTGAATACGATTCTGAATGACAAGGACTTCGTGACGCAGATGCTCAATATTAATATGAGCATCAACGAACTCGGGCAAGATATTTAGCTACAGCACACATTCTTGGGCACGCTCTTTCTCCACCCACCCAATCCAGCCGCTTAATCTACTAGGCTTAATCTTCACTCTTTTCTTAGTCGTAATGTTATCGCGTAGTTGGTAATGGGTTTTTATCATCGTTTAAGCGTATATTTTCTCAATTATCCATTCAGAGTGATGTAATGTCTTTGTCTCTCGCCAGGTTAGACTTGTAAGTCAATTTATTTCCTTAATATCTGTCCTTAAGAATCATTGACCTATTATGAGCTAGATACTCTTTGCTCAGTATTTTGGACTGACTTAGTATCCAGATTTTGGAGAATTTTCTCCTTTAGTCAATTTGTTATTTAATCAACCTCGCCTCAAGCCACCAAAATTGTTTTGATTGGTAACGTTTAGAGTTGTTTGTCCATTCTACAGTTATTTCTAAAAATGTTGATGAATTGTAATTAAATTAGAAGATTTGTTCATTAAGCACATGGAATTCAGTATATTTTTAACTTACAAATTCTGTTGGAGATAATATTAATGTTCGTTTTTCTGTACTCATTTTTTCTGGTAATCATATGAGTGGTTTCATACTTGAGGAAAAAAAAATGATTAATTTTTATTATTACTTGACTAGATCAACTGAAGATGCCCTTGTTTGCATAGTGGCAAGTTTTAATACAATTTTCTATGAAAGGTTTTAATGTGACAAGAAATGAGTACACACCTGTGTAGACCCCAGCCTTACGTGTCTGAATTATTCCTCAAATCAAAGTGTGAATTATGTTGGGTGGTGGTCTGTCTAGTATTTACTGCTTAACTGAAGATTGTATTTTGTCCTCAACTAGAAAGAGGATCTACATAAATAATATCTGAGGAACAGCTCACAATATGGCCGTTGATTCAATTTCAATTAAACTGTATTTTCTTCTCTCTATTATAGTTTATAATATCTCACGATAAGATGTACGAACATAATCAGCTTCTTGCTTAATTTCAAGGACAAATAATCAGCAAATCATTAAGTGAATTAATAATAGTTTTCTAACTTGCTGCGTTGTTTGATTTTTTCGCAATATTCTAACCAAATTATCCAAATTGTATCAAAACGAATATATATTTTGATCTATATAGCTAAGGATGCATGAATTTTAACCTGCCTTTTGTAGCTCTTAATGCACATTCCTGCACTCTTACTTTTTACCGCACCTGAGAAATTAATACCAGGAAGTTGATTCATGTATGTGATAGCCGCTAAGAAACCTTTGTACTCTCAATCTGCCTTTGCACTGTTTATCCATCAATTTATAATAAAGAGCAGTAAATAATCGCTCTGTCAGTTGTACATCCGCTCAATGCCACAGTGCAACATTTTGAAAGTCACTCAGGTACATACCTATTTTTGAAACCTAAGATGGATGTAATCTACTTTGTCGTTCACTAGAGTGAATTTTATGTTAAAAGAAGGATTCCTATTTTTATGACTCAGAACCTGATAATAATGATTAATTAATTAATTGTAAATGCATGAAATTAGATGTGTTATCGTTAGTCTAAACTCAGTGTTTAAGTGGTGAAAGAATAGAAGAGGAACGAAACCCCTAAAAATTTTTGCATTTGGATGTGATTGATTTTTTCCCCTTTTTTTCTTCTTTCTTTTAAAATGATATTGGTCATTTTTAGTTATGCATTAATAACCGAGGAGAATTCGAGGCCGATTATTTTTATCCGATCGGCAACTTCTTCAATCACCACTCAAAAGTTGAATTCAAAATGTAGTAAATTATCTCAAAGAATTTTGGTTCTAACTGATGCCTATCGGCAACATCAATCACATTCATTTGCAAAAATTCACTTATTATCTAAAATGTGTTATTAATTGAAAATAAGTAACAATATGAATGATTTCTAGAATTCCTGTCAATACGTCCTGTTATAAATCTTGCAAATTCTCCCCAAGATTTCTGCAGCCTTTACAAAGTATAACTAAGTGCTATGTGATCTTGTTTATGTAGTTAGTTTGATCTTTTCATCAATGGAAATTTGTTAGGAAGAATTAGTTTAAAAAAAGCAGAATCGGAAAGTTGATTTTTCTTCATGGGACTTGATACCATGAATGACAGCACTTGTTTCAATGATACTAACAAAAAAATTGAAATCTAAAGATTGTTTTAGTCACCTTCATTTTCATTGTTTTAATTTTTGACTAACTCAGTTCTCTTTCTGTAGAACTGAACATTTTATCAACTTTTGACATTTTGAGATTTCAGTTTGCTCCTAAGCAAAATTGTTTTATGATTTCCTCAGCTCTAATGCTACCTTAATTATAGCATTGGCTGTTGTGTTAAATTATACAAGTTAGGAAGCCATTTTGCTCTTCTGAAAGTTAAATTTATGTGAAAGTAAAATTTTGCGCTGCAAAATGTGTTTTATGGCTGTTGTCTTACAGTCGAGTTAATCTAACCCCGTTTTACTAATGTAATCAAATAGTTGCAAGCACACAGCAAAGAAATATTTTTCATTCTTCGTCATTTGACTTAACTGTTTTGATGGCAAGTATTTAGCAGTCAATCTAGCTTTTCCTTTTCAATGCCTCGTTACTGCTCTGTTTGTGTCAGCTGTTGCTTCCTCAGCGCCGACCTTTATAGAAATTATTTTACAAACCTTCTTTCTCAGCAATCGTATCTGTTTATTGCCAGTCATGAACAACTGGATTACATCTGACAATGAAAGAAATGTATCAAACAATTTGAGGAAATGAGCAAGCTGTTCAAGCAATGCTTGCTTTCATAAGTTCCAAATTTTTTAAAGGCTTCAATGCATCAGAATTGAAAATTCAATGCACTGCTTCGTGTTAATTGCAAAAAAGTTACTCAATGCCTAGTTTGCTCTTGGCGTATTTTTTTGTTGTTACTTCATCTTTTTTTCTCTCGTTGAAAAATTTTCTCTGATTTTTCTAACTCTGTTTCTTCTTTGTTATGTTGTCAGTTTCAATTTTGTTCTTTATTTTGTTTCACTTTTCAATTTCTTCAAATTGTTTAGCTTACATTCTTTTAATAAAATTCTTATTCATGGCATTCTGCTTGCTTTTTCCTTGTTGACTCCTGAACTGCCGTGCTAAGGAAGAATGCTGTATGGACATTCGAGAGTTGATAAAACGTTTATTCTTGAGGGAAATAATGAATATTTTTCCTTGAAATTTTCAGGAACTTTAGATCAAAATACGAACAAAAATCTCTGAAAATTTGGAAGAAAAATATCCCTAAGTTTACCAGGGAATCCGTGTTTTATCAAAGACAGTTTGGCAATGCCTGAAGGGTCATACGGCGTTTTTCCTCAGCACGGCAGTGCATTACACCTGTAAAAAAAAAAAAAAAGGAAAGTCCCAAAAGAAATTGCTAGCCAAATCTGAAACAAGTTGTAACTTTTTCACTTTCCAGTGAACTGAGAGTCCAAATTTTTCATGCTTCCAACCCTGAATAATTTGAATCAAGCGCTTTTATCATGGCTTTTACCATAATTGGAATAGTAGTGTTACCAGTTTCGTTTTCAGTATTTTTAGAGACTTGATACAAATGATCAAAAGTGAATAATATTATCATTGGCATCCGTACCCATTTTCGACCCTACATGGATTCAAGCTAATAAATTTGAAAAATTATTAATTATCATTTTGTACTGAGTCTTGTAAGTCCACGAAATGTCATGTCAGCTACGTATTATTCGAGCAGACTTATTTTTTTCTGTTAAGTATAACCGAAACATCATGATTGTGATGTAGGTACTTTAAAGGGCAGGGAATCTTGCAAAAGGCAAGACATTAATCTATAAGACTCTTTGGAGAATGGGCAAGAAAATTGAAGATAAGAAATTCATATAGGTAAAAGATCTATTACACTGGTAACTGTAGGAATAAACTGTGAGCACCTATCAAGAATTGAAGGGGTATTATGAGTGTACACAGGTCTAAAGATTGGAGAAAGACCCCGAAAAATATCTGTTCATGCCTTCATATAAGGGCTACGCTGGGATGAAGAAGAGCCAGAAAAGACATAGGGGATGTGCAAGATAATTTTGCCAAAGCATGATACGATTTGATATGAATAGGACCTATTTTTTTTTTTAATTTGACCGAAAGGTAACACTGCTTTCATTATCTACATACGCCGTGGAATACTAGCAGATCCGTCTGCGTCTAGAGCGTAGTCACATCGACTGGTATGATCTACGCGATACTGAAAAATCAACCTTCGTTCTGATTAGGTCATGATCAGGCGCGCTTGTATGCTGATTGCTGATGGCGCCAGCAACTCTTTGCAAAGGCTTTAAAAGTGATTCATATTACCCGCTTAAAAGCGGCGCAGGTGTACCCCTCTACGAATCCTAAATGAAACTTTCAATCGAGAAATTTACATAATCTAAATTAGTTTATTAATGCGTTATGTGAGTGATTCTTTGATTTGTGAAATGAAAAAAATTGATTGTCAGGATAAAATTCTTTCCGAGTCTGCTTTTTCCGTATGCAGTTCTCAACCAGGTTCTGAAGTTTTGGACTGTTATTTCTGGGAACAATGAACGAGACAAACCCTCATAAAGTGAGGTTATGTCGTTATGTTTATGTTTACAGTCTTTTCAGACCATGTGCCAATTTTTTACTTATTGCATTATTTCTCTTCGTGTTTCCAAGTATGATTAATCATTTTATTCTTCTTTTTTACTTAATTTGTGATTTTACCACTGGACAACAGTTGTCATCCCAAAATAAGGTAATTGTATACCTTAACTCAAGAACTTAATTGCGACAAGTGTGCCTCATGCATCAGATTTAAATCAAAATGAATGCCCTTAAATCTTTTGAAGGCAAAAGGTTTAAAAAGAATTCCAAAAAGTTTGAGATTATAGCAGTGTTATGCAAAGAACAACGAATGCACTGAGGAAGGAGAAAAAATCCAAAAAGTCTTCAAAGCAATTTGCTGAAACCCAAAGACATTTTAACTTACAGACACCGGGTACCCGGTATGCGTGGCGGCCGTTTCAACTGAATTTGCAAGCAGCAACAGTCATCCATTGATGACGCGCTGTAACCTCCGAATTTACATTGGGGCTCCAGTCACATGTAAACAAGACGCTATCAAGCATTGAGCAAGCCGCACAATTTTCGGGTTTTGTGGTAAAATTCGTAAAGAAAAAGTATTAAATATGCTAAAAACTTTTTTGTTATGTAGTTCTAGATTGGCTGTTCCAAATGCCTGTTTGTGTTGCATTTGGATGTGCAAACAGAACTAAGTGCAAAACTGAGAGCCGGTCAACTGCCTCTACTTCTGATGCCTCCAATTCCAAAATATCATTTCACAGGTACATACAAAAATATTTGATGAGTTTTTTGTCTTTTTAATGGTTTGAATTTCGAGTATGATTTCCAGAAAAATGTGAATGACCGAGATTCTGCCTGGATGAATGTCAAAGGTATGACTAAACTTTGACATAGGTAACCGTAGATGATGTTGATAATGATAACACCTCTGATGTAACATCAAATGAAATAAATAGCTTAAATATATGGTCTCTAAAGTTTATTTTAATCAGGTTCAGGGCTCGGATGATGTGCATGAAACATTATTATTTGCATTAAATCAAATTTCTAAGCATAAATACCTATCACAAGCCCAATTCATCAGATACTCATGGTATTTTCCTTCCGCAGGATTCCCGGTAAAGAACCTCAGCGTAGTTCCTGGCTTCAGGCACTGAGACGAGCTAACTATAATCCTGCAAGTGATGCTGATGCTAGGGTCTGCTCTTGTCATTTTACTGATTCTGATTTTTATTTTACCAATGAGGGCCTCAGAAAAATCAAGAGGAATGCTGTCCCCTCAGTTTTCCCGGCTTTCCCTAAGATGTAAGTAACCTTGACTATTTATGCACGAGAGTTTTTTTCTATCTTTGATTTTGGTGTAATAATGTGTGAACATAGAATGTTTAAATGTGTGAACAAGAAGAAACAGAAGAGCATCCCTAAGGCATTTAAGGAAGATGGATTGGATTTTATACTTTCAGCTAATTTTTCTTTCAGTTCTGTCTTCTTTAGGTAAGGTACTAACAGATAGCTCTATTTTCAAGGTATTTTTTAGATTCGTAGGCATACATCATGTCCTATATAATAAGTTGGCAGGATAATTCACTTCAGCTTATCATTAAGGTGTGTGATATAATTCAGCTTAATGAATGAATCAAAAATACAAAACTTTTCAAAGGACTTGGCCTAACGGTTCTAAATTTTACAACAAAGGTTGAATGACAGGCCCTAAACTCGAATGAGAATTTTGCATTTTTCAACATTTTGCCAAGTTGAAGGACCTACAACTCTTACAGTTAAACTTAAGTGTTAAAATGATAAGAGCCAATTTTATCTTCTCAGAAAAATGTTTCCTGATTGAAACTTTCCCACCTTTCCAGGATTGAATTTAGGTTTTTTTTGTTTTTGTTTTTTTAGGAAAAACTTGAAGAAACTGGCAAAAATAGAGGACTCACCAATGGACTTGCAGAAGGGAGTATGCTTTCTATAGCTAAACAAGTAAGTCAATTTTAAGAGTTCTCTTACAGAGACTCTATTCTACATAAAGGCAAGTCTAATTTTTAGAATTTATTCAAAACTTTTTAGAAGCATGGCGATGATGATTTGTAACAATGTAGGCAAAAACTTTTCAAATGCATAACTTCAACAGTTATCAAGCTACAAATAACATCAATTTTTAGACTGCATTGGGCTTGCATTCTTGATTTTTGGCCATTAAATTGATTCCATTGATTTTTAAGTGCAGAATGTGTTCAGTGAATTCGAAGCAGCACATCCAAATGCTTCATCTTATCCTCTGGATACCTCATAGAGAAAATACAGAAAGTGGTGGCAAGGCAGTCACCAATAGAATCAGCCGTGATGTGTAGTTGTACGTCATCCTATCAGCCAATGAGAGTGAGGCTTCAGACAGGGTAGAAGCTGCCTCAAGCCAACTTAATCCAACTTTGTTACAATTTTCAATACACCAGTGTTAGTTTGTTTTGGTGTAGGAATGTACATCCCTCCCTTGCTTCCACCTTCTGTATTTTTTCTGTGTATATGCCTGCCAATACAAATGTGAATTACTTGGAGAGTAGCGGAGTAGCGCTCATCATCCTGCCATAAAATGCCCTTCTGAATTTCTATCTGACTTAACTATGCTGATCCTGCTGATTGGGACCTGCTTAATGCTAGAAGTTAACATAAAAATGGCATAAAACTCAACAAATCATTTTATGTTTAACTGAGCAGCCTCATTCAAATTTTCTTAGATACCTACCTCGAAGATTTTTCTCAGTATCATGTAGGAAAAGCAATGGAACCTCCTTTTTAAGAAATTTATTGTATTGAAAACATTTAGAAACACCTTCAGAAAGATTGAAGAAGTTAGTCAAAAATATAATTGAAGCTGGCAAATCGACAGTGCAAGTCGGCAATACATAACCCGTTTGCGGTGTCTGAAAATCTCTGCCTCTATGTTATTTTTTTAAAGAGGAACAAATTTACATCATTCCTTGAAGCTTACGTAGAATTTTCTTCGCACAGAGGAGAAAAATCACGGCAGTTTTAAAGAATTGCTGTTGAGTAGTTTTCTGTGTAAAAAACAAAGTATGACAGGAAGTCTGCAACGTCGCAAACGGAATCATGTGATTGCGGACTTACACCATCGAAATATAACTCGGAACTAAAAATCACCTTGGATGACTTGAGAAACTTTTGGCTTAACTTCTATTCCGAATTTCTGGTGAGGTCAAACTTGCCCGTAAAATGAAATTTGTTTTAATTATCTGTACGTAATCTGAGTGTAGCATTCAACCAAAGGCAAAGTGTGCTAAAATTCAAATTAAAGAGACGATCTATGTGATTGACGAGTCTGAATATACATCACAATATTTAAGGATTTTTCTTCTACTATAATCAATTTTTTTTTTCTTTTTTTTGCAGCTGAACAAAGAGGTCGATGGTGGATCTTGGATCATAGGATCTGCACAGACAGGCGCTTACTTCAAAATCCTGACAAGTCCGTTACATTGAATACTGAGCCACAGTTCAGCAGTGAGATTTTACAACTGACTCGAAAACAGCGAATGAACACTGACACTAGGCAACACATAGTTTGTATCCTGATGACCGCTGAGGTACTTTTGTTTTTCTCATTTTTTTCAACTCTCTTTATTTCAAAAAATTTCATTCACAATACACAAATGTAACATTTGTATGTCATCAAAGTAACGTCAGTCAGAGAATTTTTCAAAATTGCATTGGAAAACCATGTCTCTATTCCTACTGTGTTGAAATGAAGTCCTAACAATAGTTGAGTGAAGCTATTCTCTAAAACAATGCAAAAACAATACCACAAGGAATCAATCAGAGGACTTTAAGTACTTGGGAGTGCGGTTGACCCAGGATGGAAGGACGGATCAAGCTATCAGGGAAAGGAACACCTTAGCAAGGAAGGCTATAGCGATGTTAAATGGAATCCTCTGGGATCAGCGGATTTCCAAAGATAACAAGAGGAGGATATACAACGCTGTAGTCAAAAGTATATTAACATACGGATGTGAAGTTTGGCAGCTGAAGAAACGGACACAGGATATGCTAAGAGCAACGGAGATGGATTTCTGGAGAAGGTCAGCAGGAATTTCTAGGAGAGATCGGGTCCGTAATGATAGAGTGCGTCAGATAATGGAAGTCGAAAATGACATCGTGTTCGACGTCATGACCAAACAACTTGTTTGGTATGGTCATGTCAATAGGATGACGGAAGAGAGGCTGCCAAAAAAGATGCTTGATTGGGTTCCTCCTGGGAGGAGACGTAGGGGACGCCCAGTGAGAGGTTGGCGACAGGGGGTGTTAAATGAGATAAGAGATTGTCAACTCCCTGATGACCTGTGGGAAGACCGAGCTTTGTGGCGATTAGGCGTCGCACAGCGCCAAAGAGCGCTATAAAAGCGACTCATATATATATATATCAATCAGAGAAAAATGAAGGACAAATTTTGGCTCAGTTTTTTAAATAACATCGATTTAACTTTTTTTAAACTTTATTTAAAACATATTCGTCTTTGAATTTTTTGTTTTTAGGATCACTTGGACGCTTTTGAGAAACTGCTTCACCTTGGTCTAAAAGGTTCGCAGGAGCAGGAGATTTTGCGTGTTGTTGTTCATAGTTTATTGCAAGAAAGGCAGTTTAACGTGTAATATGCCCACCTAGCTCGGCATTTTGGTGAGGCTGGTTGAAAGTATCAGGTAAATAACTCAATTCTCAAGTACACGTAGGCTGCCAAAAAGCATATGGAATAACACAAAACAAGCAGAACAGTTCTAATACGTTTGTATTAGAGAAGCGCTCAGCTGTCAGTCTGTGTTTGGGGTAAAAAATACAATGTCTATTAATTGGTGGCGCACCCAAGGTTATGATATTAAAATTCTAAAGGCAGGTTGAAATAAATAAGCGCTTCCTATTGGCTGAGCACTCAAAGTAAGCCAGTTAAAGGTTCAGTTGTTGTTTCATTTGAAAGATTAAACAAAAGCCGTTGATTTGAATTCTGTCATGAATAGTTCATGATAGGTTTTTTTTTTATTGGGTAGCATGTTATTGACTGGTTCTTTCTTGCAATCCCTGACAGGGGATTTTACTACCTATTGGAGATTACAAAAAAAAAAAAAAAAAAAAAAAAAAAAAAAACCAGTCAACAAACTGAAGCTATCAACCAAAAGCAAGATAATATTCATGGTCAAAAATTAACAAGTAAAAAGGAAGAAAAAAATCTAGACCCCCGTCCATTTTTAATGGAATTATTTTTTTCATTGAATGGAGTCTTTGAAATTAATTTCATCAGAGCATTGTCATGAGATACAGCAGAAGTGATCCACCTACTTGTAGAAATTTGTTGAACATCGTATCTACTCATTTTAGTGCGTAAAGAGGTATGGTACTTTTTCATCTAATTTTAATAGACTCCATCTGTTACACATTACATTGACATTACATTAGTCATTTGCTTCAAATTTTTCCAACGTAGAACTATGGTTTTACCCAATTACGAAACAGAAAAGTTCAGTTTTTTAAATAATTCGAAGAAATATTCAGTTTGAGAAGGCAACACCTGCATAATTTTTTTTAAAAATATTCCTCTCTCAATTTTTGGTTAATACAGTTAGCAGTTTTTTCACCTCTTCCTGATTTTTTCAGCTGAACATCCAGTAAACTTTGTGGGACAAATTTGAGGATTTGAACTCCATGTCCTCTGTTCAGATCAGCGATTTTGCCAAGTTTTTAGCCCATCTGTTCCTAGCTAAAGCTATTCCTATTTCTATTCTGAAGGTAAGAGCATTGCAGATACTATTTTTGTTTCAGTGAATCTAATATTGTGAAGAAAAGTAATCAACATTTTACCATGAGTGTTGAAACTGACCATCAACCATCATACGAGTGCGCTGCGATAGTGATTGAAAATTTCTGGCAAATTGCTCGAAGGTTTTGCCGAGCGTTAGATTATCTATCCCAAAAACTCATGGGTAAATTAATTAAAAATTATGAGGAAAATTCTTACAATGACTTAGATTTTTTTCATCTTATTGGGCAGGAAAAGTTTTTTAAAATTATTCGCTTGCTTCGTGCCACAGGTGCTGCATTTCACCGACTTGGATGAGGCAGGGTTAAAGTTTTCGCGGCAGCTCCTATCTATAATTCTATTGGCAGACTTGGATGATAAGGTTACCGATGTTTTTGTTCGGATTTCAAAAGCTCCAAAGCTGAAACTTTTCAGTGAAAGTTTGCAGCTCTTCCTCCATCATTTCCTTCCTAAAAACGTGTCAAAGTTGCCAGATGCATTGGAAAAGATTTCGGATCTCCTCAAGCGCTGAATCCCCGTTGCGGAAAAGGCGCTAATCTGATCAACAGATCCTTTTGGCTAGTAGAATTTTATATATACTGATAAGATTCTCTCGTGTTCAGCTTCTAAATCTAAGTTTTATGACTGGCGCTTTTGTTACCGTAAAGTGTGAATAAAAAAATATTGTTAAGTTCATAGCTTTCATGGAAGTATGTATCATTTTTTGAAAAATTCTCATAGGCTGAGAATTGAAGACCAGATTTTAGTTGAAACGCTTCCCAGTGGGAGCTTCCAAAAATAGATAACCTGCAGTTGGCGTATCTTGTAAAATAGTTCAACAAATATTCTACAAAGCTAAGGCACCATAAGAAATTGTTATTTCCTTTCAGTTCAGGACAAATTGTTCTCATTCTTGTTTATTGGACTTTTTCAACCATAGAAGTTTAAATCCAGAAGGATCAGGTGTTGGTTTACCGTACAAATATTCTATGTATCAGAAAGTTTACAAAAGAATACTATCCAGCATGTTTTTCCCCTCCTTAAGTATGTTAAAATATGTTCTCATTGCAATCAGAAGGGTGAAAATTTCAAAATTTACTAGAGGTAGCACTTCTAGAATGTTCTCTGGTAGAAGGCCTACCCCTCGTGAGCTTCTCTAGAGATAAGGTTTTAGGATTTGCTCGACAAAATCCATGTTCATATCTCTAAGAGGTTAGCAAGACTTGGTTTCCTGGTTGAGGTGTTACTTTGCTTCTATAAATTTGTTTCTTCTAGAGTTACTGTTGATGGAAGGTCTCTCATTCTTGGAGTAGATGAAGGATAGTCGTCTATTTCTTCCTCTTAGTAACCAGAGCTTCAGTTTTTAAATTCTTTTCGGCAGTATAATTCATGCCCAAAAAAAAATTCAATGGATCTCAGGTTTTTGGAGTCCATAGAAACAATTTGACGATCAGAAGCATGGCTCAGGTGAAAATTGTGCATAGACTGTCTGTAAAATTTCTTTGAACATTTTTCACATTATTTTGCGAAAATCTCTATGGCACTTTTCCAATTCATCGATTACTTTTACTAAAACAAACGTTGTTCAAGTTGGCATATCCACATTTTAGAGATTCTGGGATATTATCGATGAAGCTAGAAAAACACATTTCTCAATGTACTGCTCAGACTTTCCAGTAGTCAAGAAAACCTGGAAAGTCAGGGAATTCTCAGCAATCTGGAAAAGTCAGGGACTTATGTATGGGAGCAGTGTTTAGGAAAAGTTAGAACAATTAAAAGAGAAAAAAAATTATTGGAAGTTTTGTTTGAAGGTAAGGTGCCTATTCAGAAAATTTTAGAGTCAGGGAAAAGGGAAAAAAGCAGGAAATCGGAAAATGAAGAAATTATTGAGACCCTGAGTGTCTAAAAATCTCTGCTTTTGTTGTCATATATTCTTGTTTGAGAACAGTTATATAACATGTACTTTACATACTGTTAACACCATCAGAAAAATCATTCCTCAATAAATAAATTTAAGTCTTCAATAAATACTTAAAAACTCATGAATTTTGAGAACAAGCAAATTTTTCCCAGATTTTATATCGTAATCAAATTCCTTTGATTCTGTTCATTTAAACAAATTATCCAAAACCACCCGAAAATCCCCAATTTCCAAACGGATAAAAATCCTTCAGCAACTTCTTGCCACATTCCCAGCAACCTTATCCAATGATCGGGGAAGGTCAGGAACAACCGTAACTCCTCTTTCCTTCCTCTTCTGTTAGGTAATTTAAAAAATTACCCCCGCCTCCTTAACATTTTTTTAAAAAAAAACGCAATTTCCAAACCAAGAATAATGTTATTAGCTTCTACGTTACCTGCACCCCTATCCAATGATCCAGGAGGGTCGCAAGAACAACCGTTTCCCTGCTTTCTTCATGTCCGGTTAATTTTAAAAAATGACCCCAAATTATCCCCTCCCCCTCAAAGTTTTTTCTTTTTTTTTTTAAAAAAAAAAAAAAGCAATTTTAAAATCAAAAATAATGTTATCGGCTTCGTTCTACGTTACCCGCACTCTTACCTGATAATCCGGGAGGGTTGCAGAAGAACAGTCCCCCTCCTTTCACATTCTGTTAATTTTAAAAAATTACCCCAAATTACCATTTACCCTCTCCCCCTTAACAATTTAAAAAACCGCAATTTTCAAAAAAAAAAAAATTTCATCAGCTTTATTTCATGTTACCTGCACCCTTACATCTTATGATCCGAGCGAGGTGCAAGAGGAACCGCCCCATCCTTCCCTCATTTTCTTTTAGTTTTAAAAATTTCTCCCAAAAATCTGCCAATTACATGCTTAAAATTTTCCGCACTAGCTTCTCTCCACATTCCACGCACCCTTGCATGTCTCTCGTTCAACGGCCCGGGAGGGTCCATACTCCATACGCACTGCAGGGATGCCGATTTTTAATCGATTTTTGCGCCAAAATATCGATTAAATCGAATCGATTTTTCGAGGTCGATCAAAAATTGTAATCGATTTTTCGAGATCGATCAAAAATCGGAATCGATTTTTCGAGGTCGATCAAAAATCGGAATCGATTTTTCGAGGTCGATCAAAAATCGGAATCAATTTTTCGAGATCGATCAAAAATAGGAATCGATTTTTCGAGGTCGATCAAAAATCAGAATTGATTTTTCGAGATCGATCAAAAATCGGAATCGATTTTTCGAGTCGAAATCGAATCATTGAAAAAAATCGAACTTTCCGACGTTGATGTGTCACACAAGGCTTAGGTTCTTTGAAACCCGAGTTTCATCTCAAGTTCACTTGTAGTAGTAACAATGTTTTTGGCGCCGAACTTGGACTTTTAAGCGTTTTGAAAATCGATGTCATAAAAAATCGATTTTTCCCGAAATCGATATTTTTCCATCCGATTATAAAATCGAATCGATTTCAAGTTCAGTCTTAATGGCAACTCTATTTTTGGCACCGAACTTGGATTTTTAAGTGTTTCAAAAATCGATTTAAAAAAAAAGAGATTTTTTCTGAAATCGATTTTCTCCATCCTATTTTTAACCGAATATCAAATCGTTTTGCCGGAATCGATTCATTCGAAAAAATCGCCATCCCTAGACCTGGGAAGGTCCCGAACCAGACGGAAGATCCCCGAACCACCGAATATCAAATCGTTTTGCCGGAATCGATTTATTCGAAAAAATCGCCATCCCTAGACCTGGGAAGGTCCCGAACCACCGAATTTCAAATCGTTTTGCCGGAATCGATTTATTCGATAAAATCGCCATCCCTAGGCCTGGGAAGGTCCCGAACCAGACAGAAGATCCCCGAACCAGATAGGAGATCCCCGAACCACCGAATATCAAATGTTTTGCCGGAATCGATTTATTCTAAAAAATCGCCATCCCTAGACTTGGGAAGGTCCCGAACCACCAAATATCAAATCGTTTTGCCGGAATCGATTTATTCGAAAAAATCGCCATCCCCAGGCCTGGGAAGATCCCGAACCAGACAGAAGATCCCCGAACTACCGAGTATCAAATTGTTTTGCCGGAATCGATTTATTCGAAAAAATCGCTATCCCTAGGCCTGGGAAGGTCTTGAACCAGACAGAAGATCCCCGAACTACCGAATATCAAATTTTTTTGCCGGAATCGATTTATTCAAAAAAATCGCCATCCCTAGGCCTGGGAAGATCCCGAACCAGACAGAAGATCCCCGAACCAGATAGGAGATCCCCGAACCACCGAATATCAAATCGTTTTGCCGGAATCGATTCATTCGAAAAAAATCGCCATCCCTAGGCCTGGGAAGGTCCCGAACCAGACAGAAGATCCCCGAACCAGATAGGAGATCCCCGAACCACCGAATATCAAATCGCTTTGCCGGAATCGATTCATTCGAAAAAATCGCCATCCCTGGACCTGGGAAGGTCCCGAACCAGACAGTAGATCTCCGAACCACACAGAAAATCCCTAAACCAGAGCGTCCCGGCGCGAAGACAAGGACAAAGCGCGCGACGGGACAAAGAAAAAGCTGCGGAAAATCCGGGGGGCGGAGTCTGGACGCGCGCGCGGCCACATGTTGAGCCGTCGACGCCGGAATGCGTTGGGGCGCCTCCAGTCGTCCTGTAGATTCGCAGCGGAACCCACGCCCGCGGATAGTGCAGCGCAGCGCCGAGAGAGTCGCGTCGTGATAACGCCCAACACGTGTCTGGATTACCGCCGAACCCAGCCCGAGCAGTCTTATCAGAAGGTGAGTGAGCCGCTTATCAATCGCACCTCCGCCGCGCCGAGAGGCGCCACGCTCGCGAAAAACGCGAAAAAAATTCGTTCAAGTAAATTTTAATGGTTTTTTCGTCACTGTCTGATGTCTGTGTAATGTTTGGGTTTAATTTTTACACTGAAAAAAAAAAACACATTGGATCTAGAGTCCAGACTCTTGAAAACATTGACAAGAAAAAATACTGTTGATTCAATCGGATTTTTGCTTGAA